GCTGGTAACACCAGTCTGCGTGCCTTCTGCTTCGGCCGGCTGTATGGCTCGCACAGCGGCCGCGGTCGAATGGGAGCAGAGGGTTCTTGATGCTGCTCCTCTTCGGACTCTTCCCTCCATCGCCGCTTCCGCGGCACTCGCGCTGCAGGAGTGTGTCTCCCTTCGTCCCTCCGTCTTGATGGGGTAGAAGTCGGTGACTCCTCTGCGTCAGTATCGACCTCGTTCTCCCGCACATACTTCCCGGGATGGTCGATGGACAATGGCGGAAAATGTTCAAGCTCCGCCGCTGTCAAACAATTCCGCTGTCGATAAAAATTGATGAGGAAAGGAGAAAGATGGTTTAGAGTTCCCCCCCTTCTCCTCAAACGCGTGCTGTCGCATCACCCTGTGCAGGATGCTCGCCCAGTGAATTGGAGTTCCCTCGATGACGCACTCCACAAAAGAGACCTGCCACAATGTGATGTAGCAGGCACGGTGCGGCTGCAGTAATTGCATCAGCGCCGCGGACAAAGTCCGGCGAAATCGATCTTTGTAATCACGGGTCCTGTACCCATTCTTGGTAGACCTCCCGGTCTTGAACAGCTCCACAAATTGCGCCTCTTCTTGCTTGGTCACCTTGATGCTCTCACTGTCGAAAAGGAGATGCCCTGGCATGCCAGCACATCTTCCCAACGCCTGCGCCCAATCTTGGACTGTCCACCGATCAACATGCGGACGCAATCCGCGCGAGGGTGGTCCCTGTGGCTCTAGCCACTCGCGCACCATATTCGCGCAGATGTAATTCCATCCCCATAGCAAGAAATCGAGCTTTCTTGCTATTAAGCGCTCTTCGAAAGCGCGCAGCCCGTTCTGCGGCAGGCGAAGTGGCACCATCCGCAATCTGCTCGGTCTCGTCATTGCGTTCCTGGGGTTCGCTCGCCCGCTCATTCTACTTCCGCACTGCCCTCGCTTCTTTCTCTCTCGGCAAACTCTAATCGCTCTCAATTCCAAATCACGCGCACTCACTTCTCCCTCAATCAACAAGAAATCTCCTGTGTGACGACGTCGAGAATGGTCCGCAGCCAGATGGATGCGCGCAGCGCGCACAAGAGATTGGAATCGCGAATTCAAGAATGGGACGCTCTCCGCCGCCCGGTCGAAGGTCATGGTCGGCTCTTGGTCGTGAAGAACGTCTCACTTGATGGCCGCGCCGGCTGTACGCTGGAACGGTCTTCGCTCTCACGCGCGGCTTCACGCTCCGCCGTCGTCGATTAAACTCTCACGCTCGAATTGGCGGGTTTGAACTCCGCGAGCGTGTCACCCTGTGGACATGGGGGCGTAGCGCCGAAGGCGAGTTTTCCGCCTTGCGCGGTACACTTGTTCGTACCGCCCTTCGGCCAATCTCCTTCTGCCTTGACGCGTGTTGTCCGCATGTCGGACAAAAATTCAACTCCTGCCTGTGCGCAGGCAGGGGCCTCGGCGGATTCTCCGCCGGCGCGGAACTTGAACATCCTCCTGTGCACAGGCGTTCGCCTGTGCGCAGGCGAATTCCGTCCGCGGCGCTGCGCTGGCGCGGAAGGCGTTGACCGTGGTCAGCCGTCTCCGTCCAGTCTGTCCGTTCCTTGTCTCTCCGTCGGCGCTTCCGCCGCCGCAACTCCGTCCGTCCAAGAGCGCATCCACCCGTGCCGTCCGCACGGTCCGTACCTATTGGATTACTCTGGCGGCTCTTCCGACGTACGCTGCGCTGCGCTGGCGCGGAAGGCGCCGTACACTTTCTACCTCACAAGGCGCATTTCTAGGGCCCAAGGCGGATTTTCCGCCGACGCCGAAGTGCCTGTGCACAGGCGAACGCCTGTGCGTAGGCGGACTTCGCGCCTTCCCTAACCCTACTTCGCCTGTGCACAGGCGAACGCCTTCGTCCGCGCATAGGACAAAACTTGAATCCCCCTTCCGCGTAGGCGGAATTCGCGCCGGTGGCGAACTCCTTCCGCCGTAGGCGACCGCCTCCGTTTCTTCCAGTAGCGATAACTCCCTAAGTCCTCGTCCGTTCCAAGCGTTCTTGGGCTCGTTAGAATCAGCGCGTCGAGCTCTTTCCAACGGGACCCTAACTTGGTCAAGGCGCCCGAGGGTTGACCTAATTACGGGGGTTTCCCTACAGCCGCGGACGCAACCTCCGAAGGCGGGTTTTGCACCTTGCGCCGTAGAGATCCTAACTGCGGAGCTCGCAGGGAGGGTGGTGCCTGTCCTTACTGCTGCACCCCAAATCCCAGATTCTACAAGATCCCTCGAGAATCCCCGCGATCTTCCGGATTCACTCTGTTTTGATGTACCGAAGGCTATTTACAATGCTGCCAGGGTACAGTTTTCCAAAAATGTTTTAATTTCCTCAAAATTGCCAAAAGTGGGGTACCACACAAAGCAAAGGCGCCTGCTGCCAAGTCACCAAGCTCTGCATGATGTTCCTCTTTCTTGTGTTTTCTCTCCTCAGATTTGGCGTGATCTAGATCAACACCTGTATCTAGAAAAGTTTCAAGAGTTGGCGAATGGTTGTAAAGTTGACCTTGATCACTCTCTGATAGATCGTCTCGTCAGTTGTGATGCTCTGTTTCATGGTGATGATGGCCAAAGTGATGATGATTCTCCATCTTTGAGTCCACTAATACACGTGAGATATGCGTCTAGTTGTATACCTCACTAACACCGATGGTCTCTATATTTTGAACAAATCTCACGCCATAGACAATTGTGAGCATTGATTTCTCTTTCTTCGAGCGTTTTATACTCCATTAACGTTGAGATGATTGGAAAATTGATCTTAGAATACGGAAACCTCACTTTCACACTTTGACCAGATCTGATATGTCAAAGTGGGAAGATCATGTGGGCCATCTCTCAAAGTAAAACAGAGGTTAGAAGTAGACTGCTCGAAGTCATGCGGGAAAGTAGATAGCTGTACTTGCACAGGTTTATCTCTAAAACAGACAACTACTTCCTTGATTCAAAGGTCAGGTCCGAATGCCCACCTGTTTCAAGAGTTCGAGGTCCACATATGTATTCAGTCCAGTTTCTTCTGGCACCACTTTATTCGAAGAAGATGGATCCCCGTGCAAAGAACCACGTGACCAGGTCGTCAGTTCCTCCGCAGGCTATTCTTGCCGGTGAGATTGGAAGTTGAGTCCATTGAAAACTTGTTGAGGTACTAACCTTAGAGGGTCATCTGAAAGTTGAAGATAGAGTTTGTATTCTATGTATTCTATGCTTTGTCGAAGGTTAGTGATCTGATCTGTTTGTCTATTTTATCGTCAACTTAATGACCTTTCAAAGTCTTTTGTCGGAAGGTGAGTTCCGGCCGGCAGCACTAAGTATTGAAAACCTCTGAGATAAGTTTTAGAAAAGGGAGAGAGTTATGAGCATAAGCCTCACGTTTGAATAAGTCTCAGAAAAAAAAAACTGAAGCACTTGAAACTAGTTTATTTGCTTAATACTCCATGTAGTCATCTTCTTTCTTTGGTTATATTCTGTACTTGTCTAAACTTTTATTTGCTTTGTGGGATATATTTCCAAACTCAATACCATTCATCAAAATGTTGAAATCTTGAAAATTTGAAGTCCACTTTTAACTTCCCATGAAAGAATAATGGATAATTATTGGACTTTGATTATCTAGTCAGCTCTTATTTGCTAATATTTATCTGATCCCATTTATTGAACATAAATGCATATATTAAGAACATTAACTCAAGTTCATAAAGTAACATTGTTCAATACTTTATACTTGCTCTACATAATGCTAGAGATCAAAATCACAGACCGTCCATATTTCTTCTTTCATAAGAGGAAAATGTATTTTCAATTTTTAATGATGTGGTGGTCATAGAATCTGACATTGTGTTTGCAAGGACTGGAGAAACGTGACATTTAATAGGGTACGAAAATTAGAATGTTCTTCCCCGATCCTTGCTATGTCCTAACGGCTCAAAGAACACAAGGTAGTTTGTGGGTCCGGAGGGCCGGGGACCGGGGATTGGCTGACAGGGCCTCAGGGGACTGTTAGAGAAAAACAAACTGCCAGGAAGAAAACAAATTCACAACAAAAGATAAAATTTACAAAAATAGGGCTGAGGTCTTCGTTGGGTATCATTTCCTTAAACACATAACAATTGGGTATCGGTTAAAGTTGACATAACCTTTTCATCAAAAAATAAAGCCAAACCTTTTAAATCAGTATCAAACGTTCTAAAAACGTTTACTATTTCAAAACTCTGTTAATGGTGAAAAATAGAAAGTTGTATTCGATTGTTTGAAGACTTTTATCTTTAAGAAAGTTTGTATCCATTTTATTCAAAACATCCCCCAACAAAATGGATCTTCAACCGCGGTAGCAGCTCGATTTTTAACTACTATTAAAACTATGAACATATTTCTCAAAATATTCAAGCGATTTTAGATTATGAATCTTGAACCGGTCTGTTTTAACAGATCTATTGAAAAAAGTTTTCATATTGAAGAAGAATATAAAAAAACCCAAAACCATATATTTTTTAACTAATATAATCTCGGTGAATTCTTTAGCCTATAAAATAATCATTGAAATATCAAATTAATTACAGAGATAGTCCATTTTTGTACTTTTCACATGGGTTCAGCTAAGATTAATTTTGAAATAAATCAAAGAATGATATTGTCAACTCTTTCAATGAGTAGTAATATATATTTCTTATCATTAATATATTGCGAAATTTTGATTTAATAATTTTGATTCATCCTGCTTTTTGAGCATTAATTTATTTATTGTGAAAAAATTCAACACAATAAACAACTTGACTGTGATATTTTTAAAATCACACTTTTCATGATATTTTATTATGAACATGTTACACACTAAATTGAAATCATATTACAATAAAGTAAATTTTCTTCCATCTTTGGTACTTGCTGTAAATAATGATAGAAACTTGGATTCATGCCGGGAAGATTTATTAGATTGGGAATTATTTTAATATTTATTTATTTTCATGAGGTCATGATATCAGTTTGCTTGCAAACATAAAAAAATGCGCAAAGCCCAGAGGTCTAGATTATAAACTATTTTGGTTTTTTCCAAATGCCGGCTAATAATATATCAGAAATATCCCAATTCCATTCACATTCAGATGTAACATGGAACAGGGATGCAGGGTGCAACTTCGAGTAATCAGATCGATTGCGACGATTCCTGCGTCTGTCCTAAGGTTATAAAATTTCCCCAATTAAAAGGTTCAGAGCACCGTAAAGGCACGGTGGATACCTGGGTCCTTTAATATGGAGAGAAAGTCAGAAGCTAAGCCTTCCTTGATCTTTGAGTTTACCCGTTTCATCTTCATGCTTCTTCTCGAGTTCTTCCATTTTCTTCTTTTCCTTTTTCTTCTCGCGATGTTCGTGCAAAGCACGGCCCACGGGCCCATTTCCCACTTTAGCTGCAATTTTCCCTTCCCACTTGTTTATGAGAGAGATGTCTCCCTCTGAATACGAATTTCGTCGTGGAGGCTGTTCAAGACACAATGCCAAGTTTAGCATCTAAGCAAATTTGATTCCTCGTCATCAATAAGAACAACATGTAGAAGTAGAAGAACAAAGACAACAACGTCTGAAGAAATCTCAGGGCTTTGCTTCGTCTCAGAAAACTTCAGTCTTGTGTCCAGATAAAGCACAGTTTAACACATGGCAGTATCTGCATGGATCAACCTGTAAAGTTGTTGAAACGAAGCTATGAACTAACTGTCAGGGAAAGATCCTGTCAAACCAAAGTTCTAAGACTATTGAACTGAAATATATTCTGTTGCATATACAATTATCATCAAAAGCTTTAACATGGTGAATCTCAGTTACGGATCACAAGTGCGAAATATCAAAATCTTCACCAATTCCATTCATATTCGGGAGAACTTACGTACCAAATCACCAAGCCCTTCGACCTCTTGCGCTCTCTTGCGTTCATTACACGAATGAACTTCTCTCTCTGGAAAAGGTTCAAGAGTTGGCGAATGCTTGTGATGTGAACCTGGATCACTCATTGAAAGATCGCCTCGTCGTGGCGAATCTACTCGTCTGTAGTGGTGCTCTGTTTTATGATGATCAAGATCCTCCATCTTCGAATAGACTGAGATATGTATCGACTAAAACTATGACGCTATCTATATACCACACTAACACCGATGGTGGATATGTTCGAAACAAATTTTTGGCCTCGGACAGACAAATCTGAGTACTGGTTGCTCATTGTTGGAGCATTATATACTCTCTCGGCGGCCACATTCTCGGGAACATAATCCTTGGATACGGAGACTTCATCAGTCACTAGCACACTTGGACCAGATCCGATCTGTCTAACCGCGAATATCGTGAGGGCCAATTTATCCAATGTTGACCTACGATGTTGACTCCATTGAACTCGGTGACATAGAAAGCTGTACTTGCACATGCGGACCTATCAAACAGATAAGTACCTTCTTGATTTCAAAGGTCAGGTCTGAATCCGAACCTACAGTCGGAAGTCCAAAATTACAGTCAGCCCGACTACGACTGATACCAAATGATTCCGAGAAGATGTAGCTGCCGAAAGTGTCGTACGGTGCAATTTATCCTGGTGGCCAGGGCGTCAACCTGTCCGCAGGCCATTATTGCGGGCGGGATTGGGAGTTGAATAACTAATCCTGGAGGTTCTCAACCTTGTAGATACAGTTTAAAACTTGCCCGCTCATTGTCGATGACCATGTGCAACCCCGCCAAAATATTTCTCTATATTATCATAAGCTTAAAGAACTCTCAAGGTCTTTATATGGCCGCCTATTCTATACAGAGTTACAGTACTGCTCGCGGCTTACCTAACGGTGGCTTCACGAAGTAACGAAAACTGGAGCGAACGAATCTTAAACCCTATCTCTTTGATAAGGTAGACATCTAGTACATGTTTATGCATATGATTATTACATGTAACACCCTTTGTTGATAAAACCTAAACCATATAACGAATCAAAACAACTTATTTGCTATTTTTGTCAACGAACATCTCCACCGCCATTAATCATAATCATGAGTTAAATATGACATTTATTATACTCTCAAGTGATAATTATAAGCATACATATTGATGGCTACTAATGAATAATATAGTTTACATGATTTTTGGATTAAATTACTTTTCAAATCAAATGGTTAACTAAATTTTATTTTATATATATATATATATATGATGGACGGACTAATCTACACATTATTGATCATTTTTTCTTATATTCAATATAAATTATATGTATAATACAACATAAATTTGAGTAAGACATTTTGATGGGGTAATTTTGGTACATTACATTTTATCAAAAAATATTAACCACGAAATTATATTCTTTAAGTGCAGCACTGTCCGCTTAGATAGCACATTCTTGTAAGTCAAAATATTTGTTCTAATTCGTTGCATATTTTTTTTAGTTTGCTTCTAATTGCCAATACAACTGATACTTCAAAACCATAACAAGATAGAAAAAATAAAATCAATGTCTATTGCTAAAATTTACTGCGGTTGTACCTCTTTACTTCAGTATGAGAAAACCCAGATTTTTTTCAGCTCAGCAATGCAGTAAAATGCACTGAATATTTTTGGAGGTTTTATAAGAGGTAACATGTTTATATATTTACCTTCTAAAGTCTCTTCAGATTTCATTAGTTCATATATTTGCAAGTCTCGCTTCACAGTTTCATTGCAGAACAGGGACGTCCCTGTATCACTGATCTTGAAGAACTCGGTAGCTTCCAAGGTAATGCCGTGGATGTCGTGCAAGTACTAATGCTTGGTCTCCACCCGAACACACCAAAACATACTCTAAATTTAAGCTTACAAAGTGCTAGATTGATAAACTTTGAGTTTTGAAAAAACAAATACGTCAGTCGGCTAACAGAATCAGATCGGATCTGTACAGAATATTACAGAATATATCTGTACAGATATTACAGAATCTTCAGATAGGCTAACAGTTTACCGTCAAATTACGGAATATTCCCTGCAAATGTGTCTGCAACTCAACTCGGAGGATTCAAGTGCTTGTGATCTATCGAGCCGCCTTTCACGAAACACGTACCTCGCGACAAAAGTATCAATAGCAGTCACGCGCGGCTACTTAATCTATCCATGTACATTCAGTAGCCACAAAGGCTCCGATTAATCCATCACAATCCACCTTCCCACAAGCACTTCGATGATGTTGAGTGCTCGAGCAGAGTCTTGACTTGACCCGATGGATCCAGTCCGAGAAACAGTGCACGCTCGTACCTTTCCCTTCTTGCAATTCCTAAGCATGGTCCGTAGGTCGTATCGAGGTCAAACTGTCTTAACAGTTTTTCATCTGAATCAAATTTTTTCACAATCTCTTGCGCCGATTTCAATACCCTTACAACGTTTTGCCTCTTGTTATAGTTGTTGGTGGCATTGGAGGCTTCATGTCCGATGCGGTTGACCTGTTCTTCTTCCGCATCTGGACGAGAATCTCCTCCACTCAGGATAGACAGCCAGATAACATGAAACAGAATCTAGGTGCGACATTGCATGGCCTACTCTGCCATCGCTGATATCACATTCCCGCCTAGTTTTTGTTAAAATACTTCCTAGCTCGCGGCATCTTGCGCGGATTTAGAACTCACATCACCGATCCCGCAACTACCAATCGAATCGAATGGATTGTAGAAAGGAAAGATTGAAATTCCCAGGCAGTACAGTGATCAACTGATGCTTTGAAGTCATGTGTCACTGACATTAGCATAATGCCAAGCATCTTCGAATCATAACGACATCATGCGGACCTGCATAGAATACGAAGAGCTCGCTCTAACAGTACTTTCAGACAGGGAAGAGACAGAGCCGATCTCACTACAGAGTAGTCCAATGTAGAGCTTCTAACTTTTGGGATAATGCTGAGAAGCGACTATCAACTATTTTGACCATTCTCACATCAGCTATGGTGTAGAAATAGTATCTCTGTTGTTCTGACCGTCGCAGTTTGACTTTGAAACACTTTAAATAAGGATTTTTCACAAAGCATTAAGAGAATGATCTTCACGTTTGGATACACGACTTGAAGAATTCGAACCAGTGTTGATGTTATTTCATCTACAAAATGATAGCGATGGAAGGATATCTTCGTATCATTGAATCTAGGTGAGTCACAAAAATCAGTATCTGATTTCATCGATTGAATCTGATGTACATTTCAGGAGGTGATTGACGCTTCCACTCTGTGAATTTTGAGGGTTTTCATCGCATTAAAAAAAAGAGGGGCATCGATGGCTATTCCATCGGAAACCATAACGATTGTAGGAAATCGAGAACGAACGCAACAGCCGCGTTTCTATTCTTTCTAATGCGGATGTAACTGCCCCTCGGCAGGCACAAACAGGCAGCCCGATGTATGTATTCGTCAACGAATAAGTTGTGGACTTCTTGATGCACGAAATCTCACGCCTATATACTAACAACCGCACACATACGGAAGCGTCAACCCAACCGCATTGTACATGTCAAGAGTGGTAGCTGTCTGAGGGTGCCTAACTGTCACGATAATTGGTGGCAGGATACGAAGCACCAAATTTCCATTGTCATGGATCTGGAAATTGAGTCTCTCCAGCGAGCTCCATCAAGAGTTTTGCACCTAGTATCTCTGCGCCACGATAAGTTCTCTACGGTGTATCATAGACCGCCAGTTCTACGTCGCCCGCTACACTAGCTTATCAATTTATCCCCTTCTCATTTCTCCGCCTGGACCGAAGCACCTGATCAGGTCATTCAGAGCTTTTACGCCGAGAATGAAATTCACATCGTAAGTGGACACCGTTGACGTCATTGGAAACATCGCAATCACCAGGAGTGGTCGAAAGAATTCTGCAAGGAGACAATGTCGCCAGTGCAGTTGAAGGCTTCTCGATCCCTGTGTCTAATCTTTTATGGCTGACCTTCACGAGGATCAGGTGACATCAAATCGAACCATCGGATGTTCTGTTCTGACTGTTGGACCGATTCGAATTACCGTTCGATCGCGAAATGGCGGGAAGAGCTGCATCATTCCGCCGAACACCCGAACTCGAGCAATGACTACTAGAACTGCATCCTTCGTGACGGGAGCCGCATCCGGGACCGACGTTATCTGATCACGGTCGAGAATCATACCGGATCCGTGAACGTTACAATAGACCACGATTGCAAATTCAGCCTCGCGTTTGATAAAGCCACCTCTGGCCAGTCGTACCCGGCTAACAGTATCTTACCATCGTCACAGTCAAAGTCGGTCTCCGCCGCCTCGCTTCCTTATAAAAGCTTGCAAATGTTTAGCATGTTAGCCTGACGACTCGTATCTGGCCACGGCGAAAAGTGAACGTGGGATCCTATAGTGACTTTGCTTCCAGGACACAGGACTCTATCGAAGGGAGCAATCCTTTAATAAGTTGACGAATCGGTGTCTTCCGGCTGACCGTTCATAAACTAAAAAGTCTGTCGCCACAGCTCTTGATGGTCGCTCGAAAAGGGTTTGAAGAGAGTCAACAAATGAATGGGGATTACCAGTCCCTAAGCTTCAAGTTCGAAGCTGAGATTGAAGATTCTCTGCAACGTTTCCAGCAGCAGAGAATGTTTTAAAAGCATTCACGTGCTTGATTCAGCAGGTTGAGCACACAAAACAGAGGAGAATGAGATGGTGATGGATTGAGCGAGTATCCGGCAGACTGGGGTGGGTACTGTAACCTTATGTGTACGAGATGTAGCTCTCATTGCTCCTCAGCTCAGTGAGATTGACTCCTAGAGAAATCTGACACTTAGTCCTCTTCGCGTCGGGCTTCACCTCGAGATCTGATCAGAGGCCCCAACAAAAAATTGTAACTGATACATATGGAGAAGGTCCTCTAGAATCCGCCCGAAGCAGGCATCGGGTAGATTCGGGCCCTCGCACCGGGTGTATAACAACAATTCACGATCTTGCATGATGAGGCATCTTGGCCAGTTGGCGGCTTGACTGGACTCTGGGCTGCAATATTCATGATGCTAGTACTTGCAGACCCGTAGCAGTGAGCCTTCATGCAGGAGAAGACGGGATGGAAGGAGTCTACCGCGTTATGACCGTAGACTTTCTCCTCATCGACAGACGCTACGACTTCCACGCGCGATATTTTCTTACTGTGCGTACGTATTGATCATGCCTCGATGGAGAAGCAGTAGTCACTCCGGATTGTAGTGTAATCGATCTGCATACGATCACAATTTGTAACATTTGTCGATAAATTATGAGACTGATATCTGGGACTCTGCGTCGTCATCTGAATCCGTGGACCTTAGGTCCTCCCTCTCGATGTCTCTCTGTCTCAAGTCTTTGTACCTGAGATTCAGTGGTGCTGACATTTTAGCTTTTCGGAACATGCTCCCTTCGTTGTGGCGAGAGTAGAGCCGCGGAGGTCGGATGTCAACCGCTTTATTAAGAGAGAGTTCTAGAACCGCATCTAAGCGTGTGACTCCATTGCTCCGTGTGACTCCATCGCGACAAATGTTTGTCGACGAAAGTTCTTTTATAGTTGTCCGCCAGGTCAGATCATGGACATTCTCAGACCTGTACGATTATTCTAGCCCGATGAAGTTTACGCCAACGTGATGCAAGGTTTCTCATCATGACTCTGGAGTTTGGAATCTGGAAGCGCTTTATGGACAAAAGTCATGAGTGGGAGGAATATAGAAGACTTGACATACTCTAACTTCGCCTTTTGGATTTAACTGCCCTCATGTTTCAAAAATGAGTTACAGTCCTTCTCGAGTGTGGAGCCAGTCCTGTTCTTGTGAGTTGTGTCGACGAACTGCGGTGACATAGAAGGTAAAAGGTAAAACGGTAAAAGGATGGAGGTAAAAGCCTTCCAGCTAATCATGAACTAACCATTGTAACCATGAATAAAAGGTTGGGGGGACACTATTCTTAGGCTCCTTCTGGGTAGCAAACAAGTCCAGGAGAGGTCATGTCTATGGAATGTATGGAATTCGTATGTAAGTAAAAGAGTCGAGGAAACATAAAGTATCTGAAGTACTGTAATGTATTCCGAGTCATATCTATATCAACCATAATATTTTTCTATTATTCAGTGTCGTTAGAACCGGTAGGATTAGAAGGGTGTTTAATATAGACAAGGAATCACCTACGCGTACGGATAGAATCCCAAAATTTAAAAGTAAAATGAGAAGAGAGGCGAATCGAAGAGATGTAGTAGGTGGAATATTCATTCTCGAGGTTGGAGCACTAAAGAATTGGAAGCATATTGTCATTATCTTAAAATAAAAATATATTCGAAAACTGATAGATAACATAAATTTGAATAAAAAATAAATTATTTTTTAATGGAATTGTAGTTTATTTGGAAAAAAGAATAGTGAATAAAATTATATCTTTCTACCACAATTTTAATTCAAACATAAAGTTAAAGTATGTTTTCAGGAATGTATTCGATGAAAATTCAATCACACGGGCAAAGATAATTTCAAAAAAAAATTATTCTTTGGTAGAAATCATAATTTAATCCTTAAATTTTATTTACAAATCTTTTATCACATACGATTATTTTTAATAAATGATAAGTATGAAAGTTGAAATCATGTGATGATTCTCACTTTTTTGACATGATTTTCATCATTTTAAACAAGATTATTAAATAGAATAAATTTGGTATGTATGTTATCTCTTATTCTATCGATGTCATATTATTGATATTTCTCCATCAACTATTGTTTTCAATACAACGAACATTTTCAACTGTGATTGCATTGATAAAATATCAAAAAATTAATTCTATTTCTAATTTTAACTTGATTTATTAATCATTTAAAATGTACTTAAAATCTACACTTTGTCAACACTTCACATTGTGTGTGTCTGTATCTCCATATATATATATATTACATGTCAAATAGTGCAACAAAATCATCTTGTATCTAATATCAATAACAATCAAAGTTCTGTATAGTGATAGTTAAATATGTTCATCGTACTCAATATTTCTCAATACTTTTGTGTTCATTCCCAGAATTCCATTTAAAAAATCATCACATTTTTGCATTGACTGTAAAAATTAAGGCAATTGAAATGTTTTATCTGAATGGAAAAAAAATAAAAATCGATGTGTAAGTAATTTTTAAAATGAATTATTTTCTTTTTAACATAATTTTTTATTAACAGTTTTTTCATAAATCTATCATTTATTTCTCTACCATAAGTAATATTAAAGAACCCAAAAAAATTATTAGCTTGAAAGCATGAACTATTTCATATTTCAACATAAGAATATTTATTCAAAAAATTTAATAAACATATAATATTATTTTTTTGGTTAAAATTAAGTTATTAAGTTAATTTTTGAATGTGATTTTGAAAATAATTCATTTTTGTACAAAATTTATACCTTGTTATTTGAAGCAATATTTTTTTGGGATAAAATTTTTTTTTACTTAACATTGAAAATCACCCAAAAAATGAACTTTCTCGATTTGTTTTTGTAAATTTTAGTTTCAAAATTTGAAGATGATCTACCTGTTGTATGAAAATTCTTAACAAATATTACTTATATGTAAAGACTCTGAAAGATAACATACGATATTCTATTCAAATATTTTATTTCTTTACAAAAATTAAAATACTTATATCTGTTTTATGTAAATTATTTTATTTCGAATATTTTTACCATTGTATTAAAAAATATGGACTAAAAACTTTGAAGCAGTTGAAATTTTTTGAAATTTTTCTAAGAAAATTGAAATGAAAACTTTTGTACATAAAAATTTGATAGTTTATTTAATAATTTTTTATTCTTTATTTAATTCTAACTTCAAAACATTTTCTATTTTCATGAGTTATTTTTGTTCATTAAACTTGCATCATGAAATGTTTTCATATATGAGAAACTTTTTATCTTCAGAACACATCATTCACATCTTATAGTATCAAAAATATTAATGAATAAAGTTTATCTTTAAATAATGGACGTTTGGCATCCAAATTTGATGCTTGATTTTTTAAAAAAATCCTCAATATGATATACTTCTGCATATTTAAAGTTTAATTCATAACGTAAACAAAAATATATGTCAACATGTTAAATTTACAAGATAAATTAATTTCATAAGATTTCATATACATATATTTATTTAATAATAATATTTAATTCAATATTATCTAAGAACAAGATCAAAATTTTAAAATCAATTATCTATTATATCTTTGATTTCACCAATTGAATAATTTTTTTATTTACAAATTTATCAAATTGCACAAAATACGAAAATTATCAAAATTGACCATTTTTTAACACAAAATGAAACCATTTTTTTAATATATAATTTACAAATTACAATATGAATTTTCAAATCTTCATAGACATAAGCATTCTCTTACTGTGGCACTAAATAAAATCTTTTAAATAGTAATAGCTTTCTTTAGTCAACTTGATGATTGTCTTTCAAATTTTAGTCAGTGTTTTTTGACAAATAATTATAAAACCCTTCATTCTATTATCTCATTCACAGTCTACCAAACCGGGTTTAACGTGAAATCAGAATCATACTTTAACACAAAGTAGCATCTTTCTTATCTTGTATCACAAGTCATTGTTAGATGTTTTACAACATGTTGATAATTGATTTGGAATATTTAAGCAATTTTATTGTTAACAAAAATAAATTGAACATCATACTTGCATGTGAGCATATGTACATATTTGATTGTTGCCGCTCTAAAAGCATGTCAAGAGCATCATCTTTTCTGAACTGTGTATCGTATAAGACATTTATTTTTTAAAAGAAAAAAATATTTAGCAGATCCTAATCATATAATAACGCAACACATATTGAATTTGTGCAATTTTTTCATGTATAAAATGCTTAATCTTAAATCTGCAAGAATGAAATGTTTGAATTTTAAGATGATTTTGAACTCTAGGTTACCGAAAATATGGATGTTAAAAGATATACATTTGAATGTCATTGATAACATTTGATGTTATCAATGATATTTTACCTCTTGCATATTTATGATATTGTTGAAAAAAATTTATCATATTATTCTTAACGTATATTTTTCAACACAAACACAGTAAATAGTGTTAACATTCCATGAATTTGAAATAATAAAATGATCAAGATAATGTTTATATGCATTTTTAATACTTGATTTTTTTATTGAAATTTTTTTTGATAATAAGAGATATATTTTAATTCTATCATATTAAAATTTGTCGATATCCATTTTTAATGATTTCATATTTTATTTTGGAATATTTATTAAATTTTCTTGAACTTTTTTTCTTTGAATTTATAGAAAAATGATAAATATCATATCCAAAAATTTCTTTATTTTTTTTTCATTTTTTAAATTTGAAAGTGCAAAAATAATTATAAAATTAGAACATAGTATCAGAAAATATCATGAATTTGATTATGCATTACATACGATAATATCAAAAATAAAAATTTTTGATTGCACAAGTAAGCTATTTGCATCAATCTACAAATGAGAATTGTAGATTGATTGCATTATACAAATGATATTTGTACACTGCAGATAACAAAAAAAAATCAAATTATGCATAATCAAACTCAAAAAACATTATAAAACAATAAAAAATATTCATACCAAAATTAATGTATGCAGATAACCTATATCAAATTGTATGCATACAACAAAATTATATTTTGAGCTCAAGTTATATAATTTTATTCATTTATCATTTATAATTTTATATATTCTTTTTTATTTTATTTGCATTATGACAAGTTTTCACTGACTGAAAACTTGTCATAATGCAAATAAAATTAAAAAATCTTTATCAAATTATGTACATAAAATAGTATCATTTAAAATACTAGGTTTCATAGAAAAAATTTAACTCACTACTATGATATCAAAAAATTCATAGTGCTTCAGAGATATTTGAGTTAACAATGTCATATAATTTACATTACACAAGCATTAGATCAATTCATTAACATGAAAATGAATAAAACCTCATCGATTGGCTTGTAAATCTAAAAGTGTAAAAACAATTGTACACATATATTATTTGCATTAATATTTATCCAGATAACATGAGACTAAAAAAACATAAAAGTGAAAATCTATACTTGGAGCAACTTAAATTTTTATCAAGTTTAGATCAAATTGTTTACATACAAACTTAACAACTTGATAATTGATAGAATAAAATTAGATACTAATCCAATAATATGAAAATAAAAAACATATCTATTTGCATTTAGTATATTTAAATTTTGCTAATCAAATGTTTCCAACAAAATAGGAGCGTGTGAATAATGAAATAATATGAAATCAAAAAAATAAATTTCAACAACATATGACAATATAAAATAAATTTTGACAAATATTACATTTTTGCACAATCTAAATCAAATCATCTACATATAACAAGATCATAGAGATAATAGGTTAACATTTTTGCATAATCAAGACACTTTTTTTCTTCATTCATCAAAATAATCAAGTAATATAGGTTTGCATCTTCATCAAGAATCATAGATTTTATACTTTTGCTAAAAATTTTCAAAATTAACAAAAATTAAACTGGACGTTCATAAATTGACTGTTATATTGTGAAGTTGTTTAAGTTATTTTTGGTGTGTTAGAGTGGCATCATGCAAAAAATATGTCTAGATACAACCTCAAGTTGCATATTTCAACATTTCTTAATATCATGTTTCATGTTGTCGACAACATCTAAGTTGACGTACAACTCTATGTTGACGATTGCTACTATGAAGGTTTAGGAAAAAACAACCCAGTTTCAACCCAAACACGAATTGTAATTTGGATTGCAAATCACTAAAGTTGATATGAGTAAGAATGTTGGATCACTATAGTGTTTATTTTGAGTTCACCGTGGCAAAAAACAACGAAATGCAGAAATGACAACATACATAAAATTTAATGATATGTAAACATTTTGCATTAAATAATATCAAACTTTGATATGATTGGAAAAGATCACAAATAACTTCTACTCCAAGCTTGCAAGTACGGAAGTAAAATCTTGAATCTACAGGCATGATAATGCCACAACATTACAAAATGCATGAGACAGTTTGGATGGTCGGTTTGAATAGCTGCAGGGATTTGTGAACTACTAGCTGTGACATTTGCCAGTATTGCTTTTTGTGGAATCTAACTTTTTCATACTGAAATGACAAAATGACGATCAAGGGCGTTGACGAACTTGTCGTATGAGAGTATCTTCTAGAGTAAGCAGCACAAGCAATTGAGCTCAATCCTTAGGAATTTGTTGTCATTTTTTCAATTGATTTTCTTAAAGTGCAATGTACCAAAATAAAAACAAGAAATCGTCCACATATTAAATTATAAGGGTATAGTTCAAGTAAGTATGGGAAATTACAGGCTTTACGAGGCCTGATCTAGACTCTATAACATTACAATGAGAAACATATCAAAGTGCAGTTAACATATTTGCATAGAGAAAATCTTCTACATATAACAAAAGCATATGTAACAGGAGATTGGATCAATGAGAAAATGATCTCATAATGCACTCTACATGTGTTGAGTGCATCATCTACATACACGCAGAATTAGAATGCAAGGAATAGTAAATTTCAGGAATCGATGTTTTTGGATCTGTTTTAACCAAACAATCGTTATAAATTATCTGGAAATGATTAGCGGTAGACTACAACTTGTGGTATTCAAAGTTTTCGCGAACATGCGAGTCGCTGCTAGCAGCTTGTGTGGAGAGCGGGGAGATGATTATGGAGGAACTGTCTTCCGAAGATCAAAGTTCGGGTCGATTGTCTTAGCTCTATACGAAAAGATAATCTAATCTCCTTTTCAAAACTTCAAAGTGGAGGCGATGGAACAAAAATGCCTCATGCAGTAAGTCGAAATCACGAAGGGTTCAACGCAAGGAGAGAACATGCTCGTAACGAGATGCGTAAGCATTAATGGCCTCCCTGTATGCGCTGCGGCAAGACGTTCACTGACGTTGCTCAAGTATTTCGTAGACGTTCACAACTTCCCTCCGGAAGACCGTCACAACTTCCCAAGTTTAACCGGCGCTGGCGCTGGGGTTGTCTGAGAGTTTTATACAAAGAGGCGCCAAACAGACGGCGCCTCTAGAACTAGCGGCGGGTCTGGCAGCCAGAGTTAGCGGGGCGGATATCTTGTAGGTCGCCTCCTTCATGCTGAACGAGAAAAGAAGCAGGCAGGGCGGACGCCTTTCGTTGCTTCCTTGCCAAGTTCGCAAATTTTTCCGCTCGCTCGCTCGCTCCCTCCCTCGGCCTCCCTCTTTTCATCCCGCTCCCTCTGTCTCGCTCTGGCTTTCTCTCTCTGTTGAGGTGTCTGTCGTGTCCGCCGATATTCGTCTCGCGTCCCTCTCGTCTCGCCTGTCTTCGTTTTTCGAAGGTATGCAGACACCAGCACACCCGCGCCACGAGGTGTGGGATCGACGCTGTTTTGGGTCTGTAGATGGTTTTCTAGCGTATGTACGAAAATTAGGCACAGAGAGAGTTTGGTGTTGGCAGAGTACATGTGCGTGCCTGCGTGCGTGCTCGCTCTCAGGGTGCGCTCGTTTGCAGTTTGTTCAGAGTGCTGCGCGAGTGCTGCACTGCACAGGTGTCGGGGTGGGATCGCCGCAAATTTTTGTGTGCGTCGAGGCTGTGGGACGAGGATAGTGAGGGTATTTCATGTCTTCGTGGTTGGTTTTAATTTTTCTGTCGGTTGTCTAGTAAGTCTGCGTGTGGGTCTGCGTGCTGTACTCTCGAGGATATCAGCAAAATCAGCAACATTTTGTGTTTAAGGACATGATCAAGGATGATCAGAAATTTACGACTGATTTTCTCTTCTTCTCTGTTATTTTTGTGTCGAGTCCAACGAACACTAATCGGACTCTGTATTCTCAGGAAGTTCTGATGTTGAATATTCATAGTATATTGTGCGTTAGATTTCGATTGAGTATGTTGACACATGATGAATGATGAGTTGTAGGAATCAATGCAGGATACTAGGAGGCCTTTTTATCTGTCTGATCCTGTGGCGAACAGAAAGAGGATCTCTGGCGAATACATGGTATTTTCCAGTTACCAAACGAATAGCTTGCGATTGTTGTTGTGGTTGTTTAAGTTCAGCTCACAGTATATGAGACCTAGAAATGAATGAAGTCTGGCAGCGAGTTGAGGAATTTTACAGTGTCATACATCAGAGATATTCTCGTACATACAAGGTCTAAAAATTGACTGACTCTGCTCCGGGTCTCAAAGTTTACATTTATCAAAACCGCAGCACTTGATTCCCTCGGGCTGCAGATTGTTACTTCCTCATCCGAATGGAAGTCTTCAGTCTAAAAAAGTACGCAGGGTGGTCGCCGTATTGTCTGCAGGGCGGAGTACAGGTCCACTCGGTTGGTGCTTATAACTGGTCAGGATTAGAGCTGATTTGACAGACGTCAATAAACGAACCCGGGAAGCGCATGGTATGCGTGAATTCCAACCTGGAGCTTGACAGTTTTTGCGGATAGAAATTTGGAAATGAGGACAGCTGAGTAGTTGGACCTAGGAAGTTGACATGCATGAAGTCGAGGAGTAACACTCGCAGAGGAAGACTTTTCTGAACAATGCTTTGGTGAACTTGTCGTGAGATATCCCGACCACCTGCCGGAACAAAGTAATAAGCTGAAGAGTGCATGTAGTTACAATGTGCCCTTGTTTGCAGTCCCTTTTCAACACATTACTCTGAGCTTCCCCGTACATGATCTCCAGATTTCACTCGGAAATCAAGGGTGTGGAGAATGCCTGCAGCTAGATCCCAGGGGGCGAAAGGGTCTCTTGGTGCCAAAGAAAATGCTGATGGTGATCAAAATGGAGCTGATGGGCAGTCTCTGGTGGTCCAAGAGAGAGGCAGGCCGAGAAAGTCCGTCAAGCGAGCTGCTGAAAGTACTAGTCAAACTATAACAGGGGTAGTCGTCAAGAAGCCACTCGGAAGACCACGGAAGCGCCCCAAGCTACAGGCAACGGAAGAGGTTCCCATTGAGCCTGTAGAAGGAAACGAGACAGAGCCCCAGCAGACTATTTCCAAATCTCCCCCTGCCAATTGTACTGTGAAGATTCCTAGAAAACGAAATGGGCAGAAGTCCAAGAGAAAGGTTACGAAGACCTTGCTGGTGAACGGGAAGAAGCTAGGAGGTTCTTCTGAAGCTTTGGAATCCTCTGAAACACCAGGCAGGCTGCGCAGGAGAAGAGCTTCGAAGGAATGTAAGGAAAGCGAAGGCCATGACGAAGGACAAGGTAAAGAGAATGGCAGCAAAAATCTGAGGTCTCACGTTAAAGCCTCCAATCGTACAGGAACTTCCAAAGGTGCCTCAGTTGCCGGGTCCTCTGAAGATAACAACGAGGGTGAACAAGACGACGATTCTGGGAAGCAGCGCAAGAGGAGGCGAAAGCGTCGGAAGAGTGGTATGCACTCACAAGTCGATGATAAACTAAGGATCAAACGACGGGTGAAGAACTTGGTCAACAGGATAAGGCAGGAACAGAATTTCATAGATGCATACGCCGGTGAAGGTTGGAAAGGCCAAAGGTTTGTACTGACTTTATTTCCTATCTAAGTCCTCGTTGGGAGCTCATAAGAGCAGTCGTTTCTAAAACTAGGGATCAAATTTTCTTTGAAATAAGCATATGTCCATGTATGGTGCACGACACTGGACGAATAGGTAATGTGCCACCTCAAGCAACTTGTAAACTGCCTCTTTGTGGCTGCAGTCGGGAGAAAATAAGACCTGAGAAGGAGCTGCAAAGAGCTGAATCTCAGATTTTACGGTGCAAGCTTGCAATTCGTGAATCTATACACGAGCTCGATAATTTGGGCTTGGAGGGATCACTTCAGCAATCAGCTTTTGATGAGGAAGGAAGAATCTTCCACGAAGAGGTTTGCCTCTACACTGCTTTGCCTCTAAACGAAGGCTGCACTGATTCATGCTCTTAAAGAGGATACGGCCTGACCTCGGTAAGGCCGAATACCTTCTTTCGAGAAGCTCAAGATTAATACGGAGTTGTACAATTTCTGTTGTTCATGAGCTTGATGAGTATGACACATTACACTCAACAATACAAGAAGACTCTATGGCGTGTTCTACGAGTTTTGGACTTTGTCGGATTCAGTCCGTAAATTGGAGTTGTATGACATAAGTTCAAATCCACATTATATAATGATGAAAATAATTTTTGTACTTCATATTCAATATCAGATGAGAAGGAGTTGAAGGCTCCATCTAGACGAAGAAATCAAAGCCAAAATGGAATGGGCTTCAAACAGGATTTATTAAAAAGGGATAAGGGGCCAAAGCTTAGAGGAAAGAAATGGCAAGATTCCTTTGTTCGCTTGCGACGGGTATTGTATATCACTGGGAGGATATGCATCCGTTCTCGTTTAAGTTCCTGTTTACTCTTCCACCTAACACTGCAATCCTATCATCGGCTGCTTGCCTTGCTCGCACAGTGCGTCGGTGGGGCTTTGCCCCACGGTTACTCCAATGTCACATGCATATTCACAAAATCCACTTCGATTCTTGCGTCTCTCATGCAATCAACTGACTACGGCTCCCACTCTTTTTGTTTGCGTCTTGTGTTTACCTGTGCTTTCAATTATCTAGAATTGCAGCTACTTTGTTTACGGAGGCTACCAAGTTCAACATATATCGAACCCTTCGTTGTCATCAGATCCTCAGTCTGCTTGTGTTCAGTACTTGTAACCGCACTTGCATATTATACTATTTATGTAACTTTCGTAGCCCGCGTGTAGAGTTTACAAATGAGTTTACTGCCAGACGATCAAGGACGCCTGCAAAGCTGGGCCGCTTGGTCCCGGTGTACACAATTAACATCAAACTTGTTGTTCATTGCAATCACCTGACCAGAGTCAGCTGGTGAACTTCGCTCAAATTTTATCAAGCGTCTCAGTTTACATGAGTTTGCGCTGGTTAGGTTTTCGTGGTTCCAAACCTGCCGATGTTACGACCAAACCTCGCACAAGGTTTTATCTTATATTACTTATCTGCTGTGACGGCTTCTTCTTGAATATCTCCTTGTCATGCTTCCTGTACGTTTCCCTTCATGGTGAAGCTGACTTGACTGATATGGTGACACAAACGACGCGAGCCCCCCACCCCCGGGGTCCCTTCCCTTCCCTTTTGTTTATTTTCTGTTTGGTGGACTTTTATACCAGTCTTTTTGTTAATAACTCATCCAAGCTCGTACAGATTTTTTCCTTATGTTGTTTCTCTGTTGTTTTATTGTCTTTCTTGAACTCCTTTTCTTTTAAAACTTACTGTATTGCGTATTGTACGATTTCCTTCATGTTCAACCTCACTGAGTGTGATGACGATATGTTTCTTAATTATATATATCTAAAATATATGCTTCACGCCTCATAGCAGGATCGTACAAATACTTCAGTTACCTATCTTGGGAGTTATCCGCCTTTTATTTATGTGTTTATTTAGTTGCTAATTCAATATATATGTAAAATGACCAAAGCTTCTCTATTGTTTTATCATGGTTTTTGTTGGAATCTTTCTCTTAAATTTCTGTCATGCATTCTGTACGTTTCTCTTCATGTTCAACCTCACTGTGTGAAACAATTTTTTTGTTTTCATTAAATTTTTACTTTAAGTATTTTTTTAAACCTGCATAACAACATTTCTTGTAATACAATGACTACTTTGGTTACCTTTTTGTGTGAATTATCCAGTTTCTGTATTTGTGTGTTCGCTCTGTGTGGTATTCCTAATTATCTGAACCTTGGGAGGGTGAATGTGATTCCGCCACCATTAAGCTAGTTTGGAGTATTGTCAGATATTCTTAAATAAATGCTAAATTTGCTCAATATATGCGCCTATTTTAAGCGATTGACAATTCTTTCCAGTAATTTCCAGTAATAATCTACAACGTTCTATATATAGGTGACAGGACATTTTTTAACATACTATTTGAGTCTAGCCCCTGGTTTCTTTGTTCTACGTCCTGGTGATGTTTTTCCATCCTTTTTGTTATCTTCTCGCCATCATTGATAGTGTATATATCTTAGGTGATGTAGGACATATTCTCATTGTGATACTGTTTGCACCTAGCCCTTGGTTGCTTTGTTGTATGGGCTTGTTAGGGTCATTCCATTTCTTTTATCTTCTTGCCATTATTGATAGTTCATATATCTTAGGTAATGTAGGACATGTTCTCATCGTTGTACTGTTTTGACCTAGCCCTTGGTTTCTTTGTCGTATGGGCTTGTTAGGGTTTTTACTATTTTATATTTATTTTTTATTTTTATTACTGCTTGCCATCATTGATAGTTCTTGTATCTTAGGTGGTGCATGACATTCTCTCATTGTGAAACTGTTTGGACCTAGCCCGTGGTTTCTTTGTTGTACGGGCTTGTTGGGGTGTTTCCAATTTTTGGGTTATCTTCTTGCCATCATTGATAGTTCATGTATCTTAGGTGGTGTAGGACATACTCTCATTGTGATACTGTTTGGACCTAGCCCTTGGTTTTCTTTGTTGTACGGGCTTGTTGGGGTGTTTGCGCTTTTTGAGTTATCTTCTTGCCATCATTGATATTGCATGTACCTCAGGGGATGTAGGACATTTTCCCATTGTGATATTGTTTGGACCTTGCCCTTGGTTTCTTTGTTGTACGGGCTTGTTGTTGTGTTTCCATTTTTTCTTTTATATGCTTGCTATCGGTGATACTTCATATATCCTGGGTGATGTAGGACATATTCTCATTGTGATATTGTTTGGACTTAGCCCGTGGTTTCTTTGTTTTACGGGCTTGTTGGGTCTTTTCATCTTTTGGTATCCTTTGCCACCATTTGTATGATCTTGATTGTTCATATATCATAGGCGCTGCAGGACATATTTCCGTTGAGATACAATTTGGGCATGGCCTCTGTTTCCTTGGTTGTATGGCTTGTTGAAGTCTTTCCATCCTTTTTGTTCTCTACTTGCCCCGTCTTCATTTCCACTTCATAGCGCGATTTACATTCAATTACATGCTACAATGCAAGAAGAAACCGCAAATTCCAATTTCTTTGACCCCGCTATATGCCGGGCTCCAACAGCGGAGTATTGGCATATCAATTCAGCGCGGAGTGGAAGTCTAAGCTTTTACATCCTAGTCAACAAAATGTTTAGACATGGTTGACTCTTTCATATTGCTTACTGTCTAGCTGTATTATTTGTTCAATGGAGGATTTTTTTGCCATAAAAGCGCTTTCACTTTTTGTATATGCGTTCACAACAAACCTCGACAAAACCTTACATGAACTGTGATACATCTTTTAAGCAGAAAAACTTGACAGACTATGACAAAGAACTCTAAACTGACAATTTAGGCGTGTAGTATGTTTTGGCTGTTTACATTGACGATTGAAAACCTTCAGGGATACTTTTTCCTAGGCAATTGATGTGATACATTATGAAGGAGAATCTTGTGAAATTTCAATAAACTTCATTTTTTTGGACACAAAATAAAATTTTAACTAACTTCATCCATCCATTTGAAGAGTTAACTTTTGCATCACTTCTAAGTTTCATGTATAACGGTTGTAATATGTCTGGTAAATCGTTACATTGTATCTTTTTGGGGTGTCTCTCTCTTAATGGATAATTTGGTAATTACATATTTTTAGTGAAGGGTAATTTTACAGTAGATACTGTAACATGGGTTGTGAAATGTTATATCGGGTCTCCTTGTTGAGCTGACCGTTTTTCTAATGCATACTTTCAAGTGTTGAATATTATCAAACTTCAATGAACTCTAACTTTTGAAAAAGGGTTGTGACATTCTTGTGAAAGACTTTAGAATCAATGTTATTTGATGAATACGTTCTCAGTGCATACTTTTAGTGCTTGACACGATTAAACCTCAATATGAACTGTGGTTTAGACGTAAAGGTTGTAACATTTGTGGTGATTGATTTTAGAATAAACGTTGTTTCATGTTCCCTCTCTTTCATGCATGCTTTTTAGTGCTTAACATGATTAAACCTCAATATGAACTGTAGTTTATAAGCCAAGGTTGTCACATCTGTGATGACTGATTTTAGAATAAACGTCATATCATGTTCCTTCTCCTTCATGCATGCTTTTTAGTGCTTAACATGATCAAACGTCAATATGGGCTGTAGTTTAATTGAAAGGGTTGTAACATTTGTGGTAAAGGATTTGAGAATCAATGTTATTTGATGTCCCCCCTTATTGATGCATAAGTTCAGTGCTTAATATCATTAATCTTAATTGTAAACTGTATTACTTATGAAAGGGTTGTGACGTTTGTGTTGAATAATCTTGTATTCAATATCATTTGATGTTTCCCCTTCTTATTGCATACGTTTAGTGCTAAACTTTTATTTAACTGCAAAATTAGCGGTACTTCGTTCTGAAAAAGGCTGTAACACTTGTGGTGAATGATTTTAGAATGAATGTTATTTGATATTCCCCCTTCTTAATGCATACTTTTAGTGCTTAACTTTTAGTAAACTTTAATATGAGCGGTAGTTTGTTCTGAAAAAAGCTGTACCACTTTTGGTGAATGAATTTAAATTCAATGTTATTTGGTTTTCTCCCTTCTTAATGCATACTTTTAGTGCTTAACATTCATAAACTTTAGTATGAACTCTACGTTGCAAACATTTTTGTGAACTGAGTTGTGAATCAATGTTGTTGGACCTTCTCACTTCTTAATGCATACCTTTGGTACTTAAGATTGTTAAAATTCAACATGAACTTCAAATTGTATGAAGGGTATTAACTGTTGTGATAAGTGGATTCAAAGTCAATGTTATGTGATGGTACCCCTTCTTGACTCACAAATTAAGTGCTTAATTGTTTCAACCCTCAAAATGAACTGCGTGTTTTGAAAGGATTGTAACATTTGTGGGTAATCAGTTTAGAATCATTGTTATTTGATGTTCTCCCTTCTTAATGCATACTTTTAGCGTTTAACATTAGTAAATTTCAATATGAACTGAAGTTTGTATGAAAAAGGTTGTAACATTTGTGGTGAATGATTTTAGAATTAATTTTATTTGATGTTTCCCCTTCTCGTTTCCTACTTTTAGTACTTTACATCATTAACCTTCAATATGACTGTAATTTTTATGAAAGGGTTGTAACCTGTGTGGTGAGTGATTTTATAAACAATGTTATTTTATGTTCCCTCTTCTTAATGCATATCAATAGTTCAAATCATCAAACCTAACATCAATTGCATATTATAGGGAAGGTAGTGATATCTGTGTCGAAAGATTTTAGAGTCTTTCATCTTTTTCGAGGTGATTCCTTCAGCGGTTAAGGTATGTTTTGCAATAAGACAGAGTAAACAGGAACACTAGCATGAAATTGCTCATGTTTACATCATTTAAGTGCTCTAAATCCACACTAAGAAGCGTGTGTTATAAAGTGTGGTCCACACGAGATAAAGACACTATTGTTTGCTACTTAGAATGGGTGCATATGTATTGTAATCTCCATTAATAAAGTACAGAAAGTTATCTTAGTAGATGTACTACTTGACAGGCTGAAATTCTTCTTGACCATATTGTAGTGTTTGTTTTCTTTCAATTCTAGCATCTCTATCTCAGCTTTTACCTTCAGGTCTCTCGAAAGAGCTCTTATCTTGAATCAGTGCGGTTCCTCGAAAGAGCTCTTATCTGTAATCAGTGCAGTCCACGCTAGATAGTCACCACATGTGTTGAAGATTCCAAGGAATTGTTTTAAAGAATCCAAAGATTCCAACAAACGCTTAGAACATTACTCTGATCTGGGAGGAAGCGTTTGGAACTGATCTTTTTTTGAGTTCTGCTAGGCGGGTTGTAGATCCGCCCCGCTACTAGCTTTATCTTCAAGGTTCCACGTTACGCCTGGTTCTCCTGCTGGAAGGTGTGGAAGGTGCATCTCTCGAGTAGGTGGTTGTCAGCAAAGGGTCGGCTTGTGGTTCTGGTATGGGCTGTGAGACTGCCGGATTTGACCTTGTTTTTGTTGGAACTCTTCCCCTGTGTCTTTGTTACGGCTATCTCTCGCAGCAGTTCCCAATACACTCCGTTTGTATGGGTGATCTTTTTGGAGCTTGGGTACGTGAGCCCCTCCTTCGTGTCTTTTTTGTGTTTGGTCTTCCGGTTTGTTTCGTGGTTTCGGGCTTGATGGACTTCTGGCTGTTGGAGTTGTTTCTGTTGTTATTGTTCTAGGCTGGGGTTGGCTTCTGCACCTCCGTCTGGTGTTCTTTGGTCCGTTCTCTTTTGTTCGGTTGCTCTTGCTTGTTAGGCACTTGCCTGGAGCTGGATTCGGTTTATTTTTCTATTAGCGCTGTTGCGCAGGAAATTGAATTCTCACTGCAGTTTCTGCAGGTTTTCACCAAGATTTCAATGAATTGGGGCGTGAGTCTGCGTCACTACGGAACACAAAGCCATGATGCTCTTTCCCTCCGGGCCGCGGTGTTTGACACCCGTAATAAACTAAATATGTCTGCGAAGCGAACATAGTTGATCAACATAGAAGAATCATTAGTATTGACGTTATAAATTATTTGTTTGTAAACATAGAGGAGATCAGCAGTTCAGATTTCCAGTGTAGGTTGAGGATATACAGTAAAACCCCTCTTAGTTAATAGCCTTGGGCCAACAAAAGCCTATCAATTGAGAGGGGTTATTAATTCGGAGAGGTCCCACCATTTCTAGAACATTCCGCCAGTCTCATGACTTTCTTTTTGTTTCTAAGGAGTTCATTGAGCTTCCGTCACATTCCATGGCTTTCCACGCTGCTGGCAGCCCCCAGCACCTACAAGCTGGGGTCGACAAGCTGCAGGACTACTGGTTGCAACAGTCTGAGTGCAATCCTGACTTTCCATCCGTTCTCCAAAATATGAAGCATCAGGTTGCCATCATCCAGCACAATAGTCGTGTTTATGTAGGCGATATTAAAACAGAAAATGCTTGGGGACCGGCTTGATCTTATTAAATATTAGAAGAGAGGGATTGCTAATATTTGGCTCGGTCCCAAGTCGGGACCGAAGAATGTATTAATCAAGAGGGGTTATTAATTCAGAGGGGATCAGTTAAGAGGGGTTCTACTGTACTAAATCAGGAGAGTCATTACTCTCCTTTGGTCTTTCTGTATGTATCTGTTCTGTACTGTGCTGATCTGAGCGAATTGCAAACCAGGGGATTCAAATTTGGTTCTTCACCTTAACCTTCTTTCAGATCAGAAAATATTGTGATACTAATTGTAAACGTAGAAACTGAGAATCGACAGTGACAAGACATTCAAAATAACGACCACCATGAGAGAGACAAGCGTATAACGTGGTTCACCCTCAAGGGCTACGTCCACGGGTGAATAGCATCGTGATAGTATACTGTGTAGACCTTGGGTATATGTACCCAACACCGGCGACCAATCTCAGCTATAAATAGCTATTTATAGCTAAACATGAGGTTACTCCTTAACCAGAGTTAACCTCAACAAGTTTGGTACTCATTAACTGGATCAAAAAGTAGCGAGAAAACTTCCAATGGAAACTTGAGATGTACTCCGAAGAGATCCTGTCCAAGGGATACCTCAAAGGGGCAAGTTTGAGGCATTCTCATCTTCCAACTGGATAACAGCATCTCTATCAAGCATCAATAGATTTTAAGCTATGCCATCACTTTCTGGTTATCATTAGGGAAAAATTGCAAGTCTTTCTTTTGTTTCGTTTGTTTATATTTTAACAACTCAAGGGACAAAATGGATTCACTCCGCCTTGAAGTGCTTGAGCTGTTTCTTGAATGTATCGACACTGTCTAAGGTCTGAAGCTTGCACACGAATAAAGTTTGCCCTGTGCAGATAACATCTATGATCTGAGCATGATTATTTGTCTGTTCGCATTTTCGAAGTCATTTTTTTTTACAAGTTGTTCAAGAAAGAAATGTTGTCTTAGGGTCTATGGCATGATATGAGCGGTGACACGCAGCTTTAGAACAGGAAAGTTCAATTGAGATATCAGACTTATATTATAATTCATAACCCCTTACCAGGCTGACACAAACTCCAGAGAGACTTCTGTAGTGTTCGTACTCGTCGTCATGATAGGCTGATGATTAGATTATTTGTCGTCATGCTAGCTTATTCATGTTGTGAATATTTGTGAAATCAGTTGCCTCTCAGAAAAGAATCACTAATAGCTGATGCGGTTGAATATATATGCTTCCAAAGACATTCCCTCGGTCTTCTTTGCCTTCTATCTGTTTCACATGCATATTAACCTCGTTGATTTGTGTATGGTTGCAGATTTTTTGTGCGAAATGCAAATCACAGGATGCACATATTGATAATGACATTATATTATGTGACGGGGCTTGTGACCGTGGTTTCCATCAAGAGTGTTTGGAACCACCACTGGCAACTGCTGACAGTGAGTAATACCAGTTCATTTGTTAGTTCTCATGACGTTTCTCCTAACAGCCTGGCTTCTTTAAGGGATAAATTTTCATCTTAGGAATGGATGTAAATGTGGTATAATAGTTATTTGATATATTTTATAATTGTTTGCATCATAATGAAGGAGTACGTTATCATTTTCTTCGTAATTATTACTACTGGAGAGAAGTCATATTGAATCAATATGGAATGTAGCGTGTTTTGATGGGAGTCTGACTTGGGTTTATAATATTATATTTGGACATTTCTGCTCATCTTGGTTAAACTTTCATTTCCAGTTCCACCAGGGGATGAAGGTTGGCTTTGCCCTGTTTGCGATTCGAAAGTTGAGTGCCTCAACTACATGAATGGATATATGGGCACGGAGTTTCAAGTCGAAGATCAGTGGGAGGTATGCTCTCATCATTAATATGGTGTGTGTGATGGCCCTACACTTCGAATCTTCAATCTGGTGAAAGATTGTGGGGAGGCTGATTATTGCTGCTCGTAGAAACTTCATTGTTAGGTGCTAGGAGATATTTTATTGTTACAAGGGGCATCATGTGGACAGGCGTTTAGAATCGTCTGGAGACTTGTCAATCTTCTTGCATGATGATAATGTTTCTGGCTGCTCTACTTATAGTTCCAGTCATACAGATGGATTGTGTTTGAACTGGTATGTTGAAAGGGAGTTGTTAAACAGATTCAACTCTGGAAGATGAGAACGAGTGAAAATAATTAGGGAACTGATTTTTATAGGACTGTGAAGTAACATGACTTGAGGCCGAGAACTTGTACATACCATTTTTTTGAAATGTTACTAGAATTTTGCATTTCATATTGGCTTATAAGTGTACATTTGTTTGCTTAATGATCAACGGGATGATCATTTACAAGAGTAGACTATACTGCATGTATCTTCCCCTCAGGTAGAAAAGTGTACGAAAGTTGCAAGATATTCTCAAAGACCGTCTTGAGGATATCAACCTAAGCTCTATATCCAGCATAAGGTTTGAATTGAAACTGAATAAAATACACATTGAAGTTATATTTCTTGAGGAACAGAGTAATCTATACATTTGTGGACTACGATGGACTGACGGTTTGTGTATAGGTTTTTAGAATAGTCAACTCTGTGGTGCCGCCTTTGGTAATATAGTGAAGTCTTTCATGTCAAATTTTGTAAAAGTTTGATAGTCAAGTCTATGAGGTCGTCTTTCATAAATGTTTGATGTTGCTTACGCATGGATACGTAGATATTTTAGCTCAGTCAAGAGGTTATAAACAGTATTATCGCATATCAATCAACCGTGAAGAGGGAATAAGAGGAAAGGAAAGGACGATCTAAGAGAGATAGGAAACAAGCTTCTTCTAGAAAATGAGGTCTTTCACTGGACTTTACAATATAACAGGAAAGGCACCCCTTGGTAATAAACATACTCTTGAAAAAGTCGTGTTTTGTCCAAAGAATTTATAGAAAAGTTTTATTCATGCCCATGAGCAGGTTCTTGGTATCTTTCCTGTAATCATCCTTTTCGAACTAAAGCCCACTTTTATTAGCTACAAAAATCACATGAAAAGAGGATACACGAAAGATAGGAAGATGAATGTTTTGTGTATCCATAATCAGATTATGATTATGCCCAGGCATGGTTATTTTAGACGACCATATACCGAGTCGCCTGAACTACCTAAATTGATGCTCCGACTAGCGCCTAAATTAACCAGAGCATTGGCTCAGAATTGGAACGTGGGAGATCTCAGCCATTCAGCAGTGAATAATCAGTTTGTTAGCACGTAAGTCTCATAGCTCACCGAGGTCGTAATCCGGAGTTTGTAAATTAAATTTTCTCTAGCCCACGAGCGTCAGAGCCCGACTGCAAGCCCCGCGTGATTGTGACTCTCTCTGTACCTTCGAACCCCTCACTCGCTCTCAAGTGCACTCAAGGCGGCTTTTAGCACAAAAGCGCCTAAATTAGCCTAAATTAACTTTATTGATGCACTAAATTAAGCTAATTTAGGTAATATAGGCGACCGACTGATATAACCATGCCTGATTATGCCTCATAGAAATGTTTTGGTATCTCTCATTCTTTTTAATTATAGTCCATGATAGTTTTATTAGTGACAAGAAGTTCGTGCAAAGAGGAGTTAGAACCGGAAGATAAATTTTTTTTAAAGACAAACAGAGCCAAGAAACACCTCCACTAGCCACTAGAATGAAGCAGGAATGTACACCTTGATTTAGTAATCAACCATTACATCCAATATATTACCAAATGGACCGATAATTCGATTTGAATCTATGCCCATTCACTTTTTTGGGCATCTCATTTACAGCTGAATCTTCCTTCTGAATTCAAGTTTATGACAGTTTTTTTAGGCTTGAGAGGTACATGAAATGAGGACCCAAGGAAGGTAAGATATTGACGCTTCATGAGAACATGACATCCAAGAATCATCATCCCCACACATTACAATATAGCATGAAGGTAGTGCCCCTTGCCTGTAGAAATATTCATTAGAACGGATATTTTGTGAGTTGGTTTTTTGTAAACTTTGAAATTGGCTCAATGACACTTTTTTGGTGTGTTTTTTCAGTTTAATCATTCATTGTAACGAATTACGTCCCATCATGTATGTTTTAAAGAGCTAGAAGAATGCTGGGACAGCACATTTTCGATTCATGGTCTTATCTGTTTTATTACTTTAGCTAAATTTGTTTTGTGCACAGAAATTTCTCCATTAGCTACTTAATTCGCTTATCATACTCTGAGTACTATTTTTAGCTTACTGGAAGCTTAGGTGGTAGGCAGTCCATCTTCAAATCTGGAGCAAGGAAATGAAAGAAAGAAGAATTTGACTATGAGATTTAAAAATTGGTTTACTGATCTTTAACTCAATCGTAGATCGCAGTCTACGTACCCTTGGCACTCAAATTTTGGGACCTAGCTTTCATTGGGGTGTGATGGAAAAGTAATCTGCATGTAGAGCTTTCAGTTTGTCTTTCATGAAGAGCCGAGATAAAATATACCATATAGTGAGACGCTGAATGGTGTTATCTGATATTTTCCTGCAGGATCTCTTTGCTGAAGATGCAGAAAAAGCTGCTGGTGGTTGTACATCGAATGCAATGGAAGAAGACTGGCCTTCTGAGGACTCAGAGGATGATGATTATGACCCCGAGAGAGCGAAGGTTATCAAAGATAACAAAGATGACAAAGATGAAGATGATGAAGAGAAGAAACTGGCGGACTCTTTAGATTCATCTAGCGACTCCGGAAGTGAGTCAGAAGCGACATCAGGGTCTGCTGCATCCAGTGACGATGACTCAGACAATTCTCTCGTGAGCGGCGACGAATTAGCCCACCAAGGAAAGAGACGTCAGAGAAAAGATGGAGAAGGGAGAACTCCAGTGAATGAGGATGTGGATGCTAATACGCAAGATCACGCAAACATCTTGGCTGCCGAAGAAGAAGAAGTAGCTGCAGTATCTGGGAAGAGACAGCGCAAGCCAGTTGACTACAAGAAACTTCATGATGTGAGTGTAGAATTCCTGTTGTTAATTGTAAAATCAGAATCATGTTCAATGGTTTTTGTTTTATTTTTGATTTCACCTAGCAGCTCGTCACATTGAATGTTTCCCTCAACGCAAAGTAGCCCTAATATGATATCCTGCAGGCAGAACTTGGCTTACACAGTAGACTTCGTCTCATGTTCGTTGTCTGTAACGGATCCTCAATTTCAATTCATCTTTGACTGGTGGACAGATGTGATCTCAAGATATCTTTGATAAATTCCAAATTACCGTCAATATACAGGAAATGTTCGGCAAGGCAGATGTGGATGATGATGATCAGCCCTCGGAGGACGAGGAGTGGGGTCCCGGAAGAGGACGCAGGAGAGGGAGAGCCGAAGCTGTGAATGGAGGAGTGAAACCAGACACTAATGGTGCTGAAACCGGAAAAGAAATGGCAAAGGAGCCCAAGAGAAGAAACAGGAGAAAATCCACCAGTGCACAGGTTGCTAATGGACAACAAGCATTAAGTGGACAACAATCTGACGACGGGAAGACATATCGCAGACTACCGGATAATGCAGTCGAGGTGAAAAAACTGTCTTCATTCAAAGAAATATGTACAAATGCTTCATACTGGTCTGTATGTCAAGTCAGAACTCAGGAGGAAGATGTCAAATTAATTATGTAGAATTAGGGTTTAAACTTTGTTGTGAAGAGGAAAAGAGGGGAAGGTTGATCGTACCTCGAGTCGATTGCTTTCTGAGTGATACTTGGGAACTATGAAGTAACGTCATTTGTGTGGACAATTACTCACCCTTGGTCCCTCCGTCCTCCTGTTTCTCCTCCTCCTTCCTGATTCACTAGCACGCCGGGCCCAATGCGCGTTGTTTGTGACTTCAGGCCATAACAAGCAAGCAGTAGAAGTCAAATTACATGTGTAGATTAGGGCTTGAACTGTGTTTTGAAGAGGAAAAGAGGGGAAGGTGGAGAAATACATCTTGATCGTACCCCAAGTCGATAGCTTTCTGAGTGATACTTTACAATTACGATATAACGTAATTTGTTGGGACAATTACTCATCCTCTGTCACTCCGTCCTCCTGTTTCTACTCCTCCTTCCTGATCACAAGCACGCCGGCCAATGCGCGTTGTTTGTGACTTGAGCCATTACAAGTACATATAAGAACTGTCACTGTTCTAGTTCAACCCTATTACAATATGGAGTACTGAAAACCAAATGTACTCTCTTCGGATATCAAAAGCCACAGTCCATCCTACCCATACCCTGAAGCTCGAATCTAATCCTTGAAGTGCCTCAGCATTTGCGACCTCATTTTGCAAGGTAAGTCCTGGTGATGAAATGCAAAGTTTATCATGACGAGCTACATTGCACAAATTTCGCTTCATCGAAGTTGGCTCACCACATCAAAATAAGTCTCCACTTTTGTTTTCCATGACTACTTAACCCCTTTCTTCAACGAAACCCGGCTAATCACTTGCCTTTTATCAAAAGGATGGATTAAATATTTTACGATCTGTGCTCAAAGCAATCAACACCATCTAACTTGACAGAAGCCGAAATTATTTGTGTGTTGTGCCTTCCTTCACATGATGCTCTGACGCATCTACTTTGCCTATAACTGCGTGCTAATACCCTCTGTAACCCAGTTACCTCTCATAATGTGAACCGCTGGTTCGGTGTCTGAGGAAGGATTTGTATTTAGTGGAAGCGTACTGAGGAACCTGAATGGGATTAGCAGTTGGCACATAGACTGGACTGAATTGAGAAGCTATGTGAGAAGCTATTTCAGTTATTGTCACAATTAGACTATCAGAGTGCAACCATATAGATTTGTGACTTATATAAAACCTTCGTGTTTTCTTGCACTAATTTTGATCTTGTTCTCTACATAGAGAATGATTGTACGTCGTCGATTTTAGAGTAGAACGCGTGTTGTCTTGAACTGATTTGAGCTTTTCATGATCTCGGAATATCTCTCTAATATATCCGTTCATGTGGCTTAGATGTTACGTCAAGAGTTCGATTCGGGGACCTGTTTCCCAACAAGAGTCTACAAAGAAACTCTGGCCGAGAAACTTGGTATATCATATCAGCAGGTATTGTCTCCACTTCAGCAGTTTTATTCAGTTTTAGTCATTGGCTATCAAAATAAGCTGGAATCGAATTTCTTTTGGGTTTTGTTATTCTCGTGAGTGACTCACGTAATTACTTTAATTTTGTTTCTCGTTTGTTCAATTTTCTCTTCATAGCTTTTCTGCGTCTTTATCAATGTCAACCATCTTCATCCTTCTTCCATGTTTGTATCGCCAGATCAAAGATGGTCAACTGGTTAATTTAAAGCGGTAATAATGTCACTTCTTGGAACACTACCACTTCCATCTTTCTGATGACATGAATGAAATCGTTTAATATAAAGTTACGTTCAACAGAATGCCAGTTTATAGTTACTCATATGAAAACTCAAGCTCATTAATATACATAATAGGAACCAATGAACTAAATTGCCGTAGAAGGTCAGGAATTCAAACTTGAGCTATAATTGTTCTTGGCCCATTCATGCCAAATGCTTGCATTATTGGGAAAGCAGTCACTGGCAAATAAGTTCATTTCTACCAGGACAAGCCATAACCTTGCTAAGCTAAATTTCCATTTCGAAGCAATCAGATAACCCAGAAAGATATTTCCCAAAGGAGAAGTAAAAACTCATCCAAGACGTAAAATGCTCTTAGCAGGCACAGGAATTCCGTCTTTGATCCACACCGCAAAGAGAACAACCGCGAATGGGATTTAATGAGCAAGGAGAAGACAGCTTTGTTTCTTCTCTCATTTGTCATGCCAGGAGGACAATGACAGATGGCACCGGCTTTGTGAGCATGTCCTCTGTTTGAGTGACATCTTCTCCAATCATCTAGATCTTGCTTCCATGTTGTAGGACAGGATGATGGTTACACCCTTCGAACTGTCGTTAATGATGGGTACGAACGGAGGAAGATAACTTAATTTGGATTTGCTTCGAAAGGTTCTTGTGCCAAGAACTCTGCAGATCCTTCCCCTGTACCTCGAAATTGTGTTTGTCTTTGCATCCAACAGAAACAGACTTTTTATTCGCAATCACTGTACTGCTCCCACATACATGATTTTTGCAAGCTTTGTTTGAGAATATACTGCATCAATTCTTCGTCTCTTACTTCCTTTTCTTCTTGCCAGCTAGAGTTAGCTATATTCTACCTAGTGGTATAACTTTAACAATCTTGTACAGTAACTGGCAGAACAAACTAGACATGTTTGTCTGACTTTCTTTAAAATGCTAAGTAGTATGTAAGTGTCTAATCTTGAATTCTTCCTACACAGAAGACAGATTGCAGTTAATATGGATTGTGTGTTGACTTTAATGTCGGATCAAATTCTTTGCATAAGTGAAAGGCATTTAATTCGATGTGATATGGTATTTTTTTCTACTGGATCATCCGATTTTCAGTATTATAATGTAGATATTGGTTTCTAGTATGTTTGAAATGTTCTTAGCTCCTTCACTGGATTGTTAAGAGTTCATGTAGCCTCGAGCTCAATCGCGATTCTTCGTCACATCAGTGACGTGTGTCTCAGCTCAAGATTGTTTTTGAGACAAGGTCTTCATACACTCATCCATCTAAACTGGTAAGACACTTGTCGTTGAATTCACTGTGATAATCACAAACCAACTTTAATTGAATGAACCGTCTAATAAATTACCATTCAAAGTTACCATTGATATCTGTAGATATATACATAGATCACATATCTATCCCATATCTACATATACAAGTTCTGTAGATATGGGATTTGGTGGATTCGAACCAAATCACCTGAATTTCTGAACTGCTTGTATTGTACGGAATATGCTTGAGTTTGAGTTTGTGAGTGTCCTAACTACAATGTTGTAGGTTCATGGATTGAAGTGAATAGAATATTAAGAATTGTCAACTACTTGGCAGAGTAGTGCATCCACACGTAAATTTTATTCTATGTTTTGGTCATCAACAATGTCTAATTCCCTTGAAAAGCAATGCATATCTGCAACTAAGATTGTGTACAAGACGTTGGATGGTGCACGGATGTAGTTATGTATCTTTTGATACAATTAACATAACGTGTGCAGTAGAAACAACCTTTCTTTGCAGCTTAACGCTGTTTGTTTCATTTCTTGGAACTTACTCTGCTGTGGAATTATTTGTTGCATCAAACTCTTCCAAGTACTCTTCATACCTCCTAATTATATATCTTACACCTTTAGACGTTGAATCGTTCCACAAAATTCCTAGTCCGGAGGAGACTTAAGAGGTTGTTGCCAACAAAATGTGAGTTCAGTTTGGTAATATGTGATAGATAAATTTAAACCTGAGAAAGTAACTTCAACTTGGTGAAGTTTTGAACCATCCTTGAAATTTCCCAAACAAATTCAAAACTTCTGTGAATGTTCGGTGTCAGCTGGACTAACGAACGTATCCCAAGAGTGTCAATTTTTCTTTCCAGTGTATCTCCTTCCATTTGGTATAGAAGCGTCTCCTCTTTTCACCACTATTTGTATTGAATTATCTCCTTTATCCAATATTCAACATTCCTGATGGGAATGTCGTCATTATACAGATCTGTTCCTGGTTCAAGAATGCGAGACATGCCGCGAAGATTGGCATGGGGCATAACTCATCACCCAAGATGTCAAGAAAGAAGGAAAACGCCACCAGCGAGCTGTTTGGAAGTGGAGATGGTGGGATGGACGAAATAGAGGTGACAAATGGTATACTAGTGGAGAAGCTTGATGAGGTGCATTTGAAACTCCAACAGCTGAAGCACACTTTGGAAGCCATAATCTCCACATCAGAAACATCTAATGGAAACAGACACACTGGGATACCTGCAGATGGAATCCCTGAGAATGGGGTAGTTCTACCAAATGGCAGGCGCGTTGTGTACGTACCGGTCGCTGAGGTAATAGAGAAGGAATCTTGATGTACAATGTTTGGACGTTCGCTCAATGAAGTCCTGTGAGGTGGAATACAAGAAGAGGATTGAGACGAGAGTTTATCGAATGTTGGGAGGAAAGTCTTATGATCACCACTCATGCAGGAGGACTGCTAACAATACTTACTGATGATGGGATGCGCATCCCAAATGAGTTGCGTGTGATCTCGACAAGTTTCTGGAGGTTTCGAGACATTTTCTCCTCGCTTGATGAAGCTTCATGTACAAAAATATATCAGCTCACTAGAGGAGGAGAAATATTCTTCACCACTGCTAATTGGCAGAGGATAGAGGTTCGTGGTTTTCTGTTCTGTCTTCTTCCTGTCCCTTTTGTCTTAATCTGTTCCTGCACTAAGTGAGGAGTTACCGAGCTCCGCCTTGTGGAATAGACAGGCACACGTTGTGATCTGGAGTAGAAGTTTTACCTGGAGAAAGCATACCGTTCGTTCCCATTGAAAAGCAGACTCTGAGATGGATTGGATCGGTACATTTCCTTGTCACATGCCTTAGATTCCCAGATTGGACGTGTGGACGACACGGTTTAGGTTGAGGTGGTAGTACAGAACTTAAGCCCAAAGGAGAAGCAGTAAAGATGATTACCTAGCTTCATGTGGATTACATAGTAGAGGTAGTCGATGAGAAGTTTAGCGCAGAGGTGCAACAGCATCCTTGACATTCAGGTCGATTGACCATTACTTGTTTTGATGTTGTGGATGAGCTCGGTGATGACGGACACATCTTGACTTGAAGAGTGTCTCAGGCAACAAATGCGCAGTTGACGAATTACATGTTCATTATACTCCATTTCTTATGCTTCGTTTCCAGTCATTCTTGCTTTTGGTCTCTCCTGCCATTACCATCGTCATATACTCACTTCTTACTATTGTAAGCTTTTTTGTAGTCATCCACTGTATGCGGCTGGTGAAATAAAAGAATGGTAAGACTTTATCACCAATTTTGTGTAACCAGCGAAACTAGAATATGTTTGGGAGTTAGTTAGTATCAAGACAGTTGCCAGTTCCTGTCGAGGTAGTATAAACTGTTTTTCATCAATTACTACAAATTTTTTTCAGTGATCGATACCTGTCAGTGTGTAGTAGTTCAAAGTATGCTCCAGTTGATGATGATTTGAACTCACGAATCAGGCCTTAAAAATTACATACGAAACAGGTAAATTGTGAATGCCCGATGTGAATATACTAGTTAGCTACTTGTTATTAATCACCATCAACATATCTCTCATATAGATTCGCATGAATAGTGATATCAGAATGGAAGGTGGACCACGACTCTATGTAGTACATGCCAATTCGCTCGGTTATTGCCAAAGCAAATACATAGGTGGCTATAGTATCCACTCAGTATGTTTGTTGGATGTGTTTTCCACACATGTGATGTATAGTTCCTCGTCGAACTATTCATTTGAACTAACACAATGCATAAATTGTAAAACGGATTTAACGGATTAATAAAGGAGCTAACTAAAATTGATGTGCAAAAATTTGCAAAAGTTTCTCAAACTACAAAATTATTGAAATAAATGTAAATGTTGCGAGAATGTTAGAATCTAGGTGAAATTTTGGTTAATTTTAATTAATTCAGGGATGACTGTTAATAATAAAATCCGTGACTAAATATAAATCGAAGTAAAAAAAAACAGTTGTAATCTTCTGAAAGCCACCTGAAGCAGAACAGAAAATATATTAGATGTTTTGACAAATACAACAAACAAAACTTCTTGATTTGAACAAACTTTCAAATAGTTAATCAAGAATTTAATAAACACATGGGCAAAAGGTAACAGTTGGCGATATCAAGTAAGGTGACTGTGTTCAACGTTTAAAACTTAATATGATCATTTCTTGATTTCACAATTGACGCTAACGCAAATTGATAAATCTCATAGTTCAAATTTCTTTATCCAATTTTAGTTAAAATGTGTATTGAGATGTCATCAAACAACTAAAAATTGACTACACTAGGATTAAATCATGTCCATTTTAACTCAAGTAGCTAAACTCTAATAACGGTTTTAGGTTTTGTTAATAACTATGATAGAGAGATAGCTCTCTATCATAGCTATCTAAAGCTCTCTATCATAGCTCTATCTAAGCTATCTATACTCACTTGAAAAGAGCTAGCCAAAGCTCTTCTCAAATAAATCAAATGTCTTACCTTTCTTAGTTCCGTGGTTATAAACTGGCAGTTACGAACCACATAGTTTTATGTCGATGTATTGATGTATGCTCGCGTGTACGTTTCAGTGTGTCTTGCATTTCTAGATTTGTATTTGTGTTTCCTTCAGAAATATCTCTACAAATATAATAGTATCAGAGTGAGTTCTAGTTCGAGCTATCTTTGCACAAATATCCTTTTAATCCTGGTTTTCTTTGATACAATCTGATAAGATCCCTATGTATCAGGATCTGATCCATAGATTCGAGGGTTCTTACTTTTCAGTGTGCTTCGATCTTCAATTAGACAGTGGTTAGAAAAGTGTCTCGCTCTTGAGAGATATGATATTTGCTGGCTGATCTCCTGATGATGATAGCAGAGTAATCAAACTTTCGCATACATGCATGCAAAGGTGGTCGATATCACGATAGAGAATATGTATCTCAAGAGTCAAAGCCCTAAGCTACATCAGAAAACAAGACTTTCAAGAAATCAAGCTTGGACAATGTGAGAGAAAATTATTTTGCAAGAGTTGAAAACAACGAGAACAAGGAGTTGATAGAACAAGAAACAAGATCTCAAAACTCAATTTTAGTCCTTTGATGCAACATGTAGAAACAAATGCAAGAATCAATCTAAGAATCTAGAGAACTACACCTCAATGGAAAAGAAAGACCAATCTGAGATATGTCACAAGATACGACTTCAGTGCTAGACAGAACAAAATGATGGCCATGAAGTATGAAAGAGTAGGATATAAAATAATCTAATGCAGTGAACATGGTGACTCTCTTCTAAGATGGACTAGTCAAAGTTCACCAAAAGTTTATGTCATAACCGTCAATCTACAACGACAACAATTTGACATTTAGAAGCAAGCTATGAATATTAGTTTATTTTATTTGCAACCTTATGTTTTAAAGCAGATGAATTGAGTGTATGAAGTGACAGTACCGTCACAAAGAATTATCAAACTAGTTATATGATTCCTTGAAGCTAACGAGTTTCAAGATGAAAGATTTTTGCACAAAATTTCAAAATCACGTTGATGCTTTTGGTTATATTTTCACTGATATTTAAAATGTTGGAGAGTAAATAAGTGCTGAAAGCTTTTCATCTTTCAAACTAATCATTTGAATCTTATAACAATACTTTATACAATAACCTAGTAATTTTGGTTTTGAAGCAAGTGATACAATATGATGAATGTATATATTGTTTGAGGCTTTTGAGCCACAATTTCATTGAAAAAAGATTTCAAACATGTTATATATCTCCTTGAAGCTAATGATCTTCAAGATGAAAATTTTTGATACAAAGATCCAAAATTTCATCAATGTATTTGGTGATCTTATTATTAATCTTCAGATAAAATCATTGTCAAAAAAAATCTCTTTATCAATTGAGTTCATTGATTCCATCTTATTAATCATTGTCACATGCCTTGCTTCATTGTAATAAGCAAAAATTCACTTATAACAAGTTTGTAGGTGCTTTGTTGATTAATGACTTAGAGCAAAAATTGATGTTGTCCCTTCAGCCATCCTTTTCTTCCAGTTTAGCATTTACTGTAATTCAAGTTTGTCATATTCACAAAATAACAAGTTAGATAAGCATTTTTGTTATAAAGATAGATTCAAAACTAGTGATAAATTCATAAAGAGTATAACGGTGATGTGTTGGAAATGTGATAATAGTAGCCATGTCATGAAGTACTAGCGCGTGAAAACCAGAGGTGTTGATCTTCACTTAGCAAATGTGATTCAAGAGTTTGATCTCAAGGAGCATGACTTGCTGGAGTATGGATTATGATGCCAAAGATATGCCTTATTCAATGTATCATACTTTGCTGGTTATACATTAATTCAAATTGGATTTATACATGATATCTTTCTTGGATTATAAGATTGAAAAGGCTTTGAGTGAAACTCTAGAAATAATTGCTTGAGGTGATTAATGTGATATTATTCTGTTTAAAGCTCATAAGTATAACAATCTGCATTTGAAAGAGAGCATTTCCATGTGATGAAGTAAACTTTATTAAAAATTTTAACTGTGGTGCTCTTAACTAGTACACATGATTAATGGTCACATGATTCTTTCTAGATGATAGAAAATTGTTATCATGCATAAGTAAAGTTGATTTGGAATTTGGCAAAATATTTTGTTATAAGCGAGCATCATAGACAAGCTTTTAGTATTAACACTCATAGTTCTAAGGAAAACTTGAGTATGTACATAATGATGTGTGGTAAAACCTCTCCATAAGTCTCACTCTTTGAACATTTTTACTATATATCATTTATTGATGAATATTCAAGGTTTACATGACTTTATTTCTTCTCACACAAGTTTGAGGTGTTTACAAATTTCAAAAGTTTAACATTCCAAGTTGAGATTCAATCTGACACAAAATGAAATATTTACGAACAAAAATGATACAAATATTTTTCCAAAAAAGTTTTCTTTTTAGAAAAATGAAGTCACAAATGGATGACTGATTATTCTTGTTTGAAATTTTTTGATTGTACGGCTTATTCATTCATACCAAAATTATAATCAAGAAGTGTTGTTTTCTGAAATATGCTAGTAATATGAAAAATTATAAGTTATGGAATCCAGTAGCATGTAATGTTATTGTTTATACGGATGATTCTTTTAATAGTCCATATCATTGAAAGGAGGGAAAAGTTTATAGGCTCTTCGTACTAATAAAAAAAAAATTTCACTCATGGATGTTGTTGATGGAATGATAGATTATCATGTAATGAATGATGTGAGATTAAGAAAAGCTATGATATAGATAGAGCAAATTCTTGAAGAGCAAAAATTAGTGGAGCGAGTTTTAGAGTAACAAATTGATTTGTGGATGAATCTCAACATCTGCATCAGATGATAGAAATTACTATGAACTGTTCAGTAGAGTATCATCAAATCACACTAGTTTGATTACTACAAGGAAAAATTAAAAAATATGAGTTGATTCATTTATTTTTGAAGAGTGTGATATTGATAGAGAGTATGATGATGACATTGCATTGATCTTGGAAAAAATAGTACCTTATTGTTATAGCAAAGATCAAGGTTATGTCAATAAGTTGGAATAGATCTACGCTATAGACGTGGGAGATGCATTTGCAAATGAATCACAAGATGTGTATCAAAATATGCTATAATTTGTATGGAATGTGCATTTGCTTGAATATTTAGTATGTTTATTGATCAAATGAATGTAATTATTGCATTTTCCAACAAAATTTAGAGTAAAAAATCTAGATGAGACAACTAATCAGCTATGAGGAACAAGTTTAGTAAACGCTGGTTTGTAGTTTATTGAAATCATTATATGAATTTACACAAGCTTTTAGACAATGGATTGGAAGATTTAATGAGTTCATAAAACCTCAAGGTTTTTCACAAATGTTGTATGATACTTATGTATACATGAGAAAAGTGAATACATGAGAGGTCTAATTTTATACTTGTGTATACATGAAAGGTTTAATTTTATTAATCTTGTAGTCTACGTGAATGATATGCTCATGTTGCTCATATGCTTGTAAAGAACCACTCCAACGTCAACATATGTAAGAATCAATTTAAGTTTGCATTTAAG